AAGAAATGCCATAACAATATTTACACTGTAGAGAAAAGAAATGGTCAGGAAAGACTTACTGGAGGACTAGGAGAACGAGTAAAATGGTAAGCGGGAAGTTATCTCACCCAGATGTCCACTTAAAAAGTTTGACACCTCAGACTCAGCAAGTACAAGTGGGAAAAGGGCAGAGGGGTACACAGATTTCTGCAAAACGTAACTTGCTTTATTCTGAGAGCCACAGAGAGCCAGCAAAGCATATACCATTCAGGAGTAACAGATTTACATTTCAGAAAGATCAGGGACAGCTGTGTGGAAGATGGACCAGAAGAGATAGACTAGAGGTAGGGATTTGTGTTAGGTACCTGTTATATGACAAAGTATTCAGAACCTAAGACAGTGACAATGAGGACAAGAAAGAGATCAGAGATAATGGGAGTAAAATTGTTATGTGGGATTGACCAAGGGGCCTAGGATAACTGCAATTGTATTTCAGTAACTCTATGGCATCATTAATCAAGATGATCTTAGGAGGTGGGTCAACTTGGGAAGGTTGGGGGAGATGAGTTGTTTTTTAATGTATTGAGTTCAGGCTGCCTTCGAAGAGGACATGTGTAACAGATAACCGGATGTATGGATTTAGCTCTGTGCCAAGTCTGGGCTTCACCTCACTCCCACATGGCTCATTTAGTTACACAGACAATATACATTAACATGATCTATAGATACAGAGATAAGCAGGAACATTTTGTAATTCTATATTCATCTCCCTTTTACTGCTAAAGAATGGGTAAATATCCATGAAAGGCAGAATAATTTGGTGAGGATTACAAAATAAATAAAGGCAAAATATTTTGGAAGCCCAAACAGCTACAAAATACAGGCCTTCTGTCTGGCTGGTGTGGCTCAGTTGGTTGAGCACTGTCCCATACACCAAAAGGTCGCTGGTTCGATACCCGGTCAGGGCACATGCCTAGGTTGTGGGTTTGATCCCCAGTAGGGGGCGTGCATGAGGAAGCCAATGGGTGTTTCTATCTCTCTCTCTCTCATTCTCTAAAATCAACAAAAAACATTTTTATTTTTATTTCTTTTAAAGGGGGGAGAAAATAACTTTAAATGCTGCTGGAAAGACGTTCGAGAGTCACTCTTTGGCATAGCTCATCTTTGCATCCTAATTTCTGATTACTCCTAACATAACTGTCAGATACAGCCAGATATCTCAACATTCCTTTTAAATAAACTTTGCACAGACCTACTTCTACATCGCTGTTTTGCCTCCTAGAATGCCCTCCTCTTCCCACTAGCCTAATTCTCTCCCTCAAAGATACAAGTTGAGTTCTCCCAGTAAACTTTCCCCAACAGTTACAGCCCACAGTTCTCTCCTCTGAAGGAATGGCTCACGTACTATTTGAATATCTCATTCTTTGGTATCGATCACATACTACTTTGTATAGTGGGTTATCTATTAATAAATGTATCACTGAACCCACCAACTGAACTATAAGCTGCCTGAGAGCCCTGTCTTAGTGCCCAGAATAGTTCTTTGCACAGTAGGTTCTCAAATATTTAGACAGTATAATCGACATGAATAAAAAAGGGTATGTATACCTTAAGTCTCTCTCTTTCTATTTCTGGTTTGAGGAGCTTTTTCAAGAGCCGGTTTTCCTGTGACTTTTTCTTTTTCACTTCAGTCTCTGGACAAAGAATGGAGTTACAAATCTGAACGGTAGTTTTATACTGGAACAAGGGCACATTCATTAAACTCTCCAAATTCTGGAATGGCCCAAACTTTTTTCTGTGCTCTACAAGATTGAGGGACTTTCTTCCACGAAGTAATTTGAAAGCTTCGAGTTCATTATTAGATGCTGTATTCAACACATGCAATATGGAAGCCTGTTGTTCCGAAGAGAAGAGCTTGTCAAGGGCCTTCCCAGACTCCTTTGTCGTTTTGTCACAAGAAGCAACGTCGGGAATACTTTTCTTGGATGCGGTGGATTTTTTCCGACAGCAGGAATTATGTAGGGCCTGGAAGGAGGACCATCCTAATGGTACTGGAAAAAATCTCCACCTCCCTAAAAGGAAAATTTAGCAAAATGTGAGTTGGGATGTCCTACTTTCCCATAATTTAAGAACCAGTGGACCATCTTAAGTTCTCCTGGAGAATCATTATTAAAATAAGTTGTTTAAAAACCGTATCTACATATAATTAAACAACAGGGCTTTTTGTTGTTTTTACTCACGAGATAGCTTCTGATTTTTATGGCTATGTCTTAAGTTTTACAACCTAGAAATCTTATTTTATGCCCATCAAGAAGCATGGGTTTAAAACAATAATTTCGACTGCTTAACATTTTTGACATTTGCAACGTTAGAGGAATCTCTTTGTAATTAATATCTCTTGTTATGGACATTTATTTTCCCTCCATTTTATACGATTAAAATGTTTTAGCGGAGTGGTAGATTTAAGAGCGGTTTTTTATTTTCTTCTGCACACTTCTCAAGATTCCTACCATGCTACGGGTCTGCAGGCAGAGGGAAACCCGCGTAAGGAAGACTTCTGTAAACCAATGGGAAGCCACAGGAAAGCCATGCAGCCAGGGGCGAGCAAGCGGCTTAGACTCCGCCCCCCGCCCGCCGCCCAGTCGGGGAAGGAGCCGCTCGCGGACCCGTAACCCAGAGGAGCTCGATCGCGCCGTCGGCTCAGCGGGGCTTCCAAGAGGAGACCTGGATCTGGGACTCGGGGCGGACGGGAAGCGAACCCAGTGCTGCAGGGACCCTACCTCCCGCCATGAGGACACTAGGGACGTTCATTTTCCGAGTCAAACGAGTACGTCCCCACCGTTCAGTCCTCCTCCACTGACTTCCGGTTCCTGCGTGCGTCCCCCAAAAGAGCCCGGCCTTTCCGCAGAACGATTCTGGCCGCAGCGGCGTTCCGGGCGCGCCCAGGTGTGGAGCCCGGAGCGGTGGGCGGGCCGAGGCTGGGCTGGGCCGCGGGGTGGGCGCCCGCATCAGCTCCGCGCCGCGATCCCGAGCCCCGGGTGGTCTGCAGACTTACTCCACTGCCTCCGGGGAACGTGGAGGGAAGGAAGGAAGGGGGTGAGGCGCCCAATGTGCTTGAATGCAGGATGGGGCGCCACCAGGTACCCGGAGCCGCCGAGGTGTTCGTGCCGTCGGACTGGAGGTGTGTGTCTAGATGGCGAACCTTTTGAGCTCGGCGTGTCAGCATTTTGAAAAGCCCTAACTTAACTCTCGTGCCGTGTCACATATAGACATTTTTTGATATTTGCAACCATAGTACAACAAAGACTTATATTTTTGATATTTATTTTATATATTTAAATGCCATTTAACAAAGAAAAATCAACCAAAAAAATGAGTTTGCGTGTCCCTCTGACACGCGTGTCATAGGTTCGCCATCACTGGAACATCTCTAGACTCTAGAGAACTGGCCGTAGATGGACGCTGAGGCTGGATGAGGTGAGGGGGCCGAGCAGGGGAGGAGCGGGGGAGCCAGTGTGTCTTCCCCAGGGACAGGCAACCCTAGGAACTGAACTTGGGAGATAGAATGAGAACGTCAAGGATTCCTTCTAGGAAATGGGGAGACTACAGTGGTTCTCAACCTTCCTACTGCTGCGACCCTTTAATACAGTTCCTCATGTTGTGGTGACCCCAATTTCACTGTTACAAATGGAACATAATTAAAGCATAGTGATTAATCACAAAAACGATATGTAATTATATATGTGTTTTTCCGATGGTCTTAGGCGACCCCTGTGAAAGGGTCGTTTCGACCCCCAAAGGGGTCGAGACCCATAGGTTGAGAACCGCTAGTTTAGCTAGTTTTGTGAAAAACAGGGACGTCAGGAGGAAGGTGGCTTTGGGAGGCAAAGTTGGTGCATTTGTGTTTTTACGAGACGGCAATGCGGGGATATTGTCCAGGAGGCCGTGGGGAGGTGAGGGATTGTAAGTGTTCATAAGGAGTACTCATGGGAATTCTACAAAGCCAGCCGGTTTCTGGGGAACTTAGGAATCTAACAAGAAATAAAGTAAACTTTTTGTGCTAAAGCCTCCAAATCAATAGGAAATAGTTTTCTTTTAACTCCAGGGCTTATACCGCTGAAAGAGGTATTAGGCGTTGAATTGTATCCCTCAAAAAAGAGATGAGGAAGTCTGACTCCTCAGAATATGACCTCATTTCCAAATAGGGTCATTGCAGATGTAATTAGATAAACTTAAAAATGAGGTCACACTGGGGTGTGGGTGGGGGCTGGCTAATGCAATATGACTGGTGTCCTTATAAGAAGATCAGCCCTAACCCGTTGGGCTCAGTGGATATAGTGTTGATCTGTGGACCGAAGGGTCCTGGGTTTGATTTCGGTCAAGGGTACGGGCACGTATGTGGGTTGCAGACTCCTCCTGGGCCCAGGCCCTGGTCCGGGCTGGTGCAGGAGGCAACCCATCGGTGTGTTTCTCTCACATCGATATTTCTCTCTGTCTTTCCCTTTCTCTTCCCCTCTCTCTAAAAATCAATGGAAAAATATCCTTGGGTGAGAATTAAAAAAAGGAAAAAAAAGAAGAAGATGAGTGCCATGTGAAGATGGAGCCAAAAATTGAAGTGATACACATACAAACCATGGAAGGCCAAGGATAGCCAGCACAAGCTGGGAGAGAGGTGTGGAACGGATTCACTCTCAGAAGGAACCAACCCTGCCAACACCTGTACTTCAGACTTCCAGCCTCCAGAGCTGTGAGAGAATAAATTTCTGTTGTTTTAAGCCACCAGGTTTGTGGTAATTTGTTACAGCAGCCACGGGAGACAAATGCCTGAGGCCAGAAGGAGCCTGGTGATGGATGCTTTCAGAGGTGACGTGGTCCACTCTCAAGGTGTAACAAGTCACTTGCTACCTGCACAACCTGGGATTCTCATCCTCTCCGAACCTCAGCTTCCTCATTTGTGAAATGGACATAATGGTATCTGCCTCTCATTTCTACTAAGAGGATGTCTAGTTAGAAACTGGATGTGGAGAACATGACTTATAATAAGGGTTCGATAAATGTTAGTTCCTCATTAAAGCATTATCTCTTCTGGGGAGCCAATTATTATTATTTATAAATATACATATTTTATTGATTTCAGAGAGGAAAGAAAAGGGAGAGAGAGAGAAACATCAATGATGAGAGAATCATTGATCAGCGGCCTCCTGCACGCCCCTTGCTGGGGTTTAAGCCCGAAACCCGAGCATGTGCCCTTGACCGGAATTGAACCCAGGACCATTCAGTCTGTAGGCCAATGCTCTGTCCACTGAGCTAAACCAGCTAGGGCTGGGGAGCCAATTATTAACGAGTTTGAGGGGAAACCTTCACTCCCTGGAGCATTCATTCAGAATTACTTTGACCAGAGGCTGGAAGTGGTAGGGAAAGAGGCAACCACTGTGCCTGATTTACTGTAAACCAGAATCTGTGTTCAAAATGAAAGTCGTCATCTTCCCCAGAAACCAGCTCCTTCTCACTTCCCTGGTTTTGTTGCCCACATGCACACACCCCTGCTCCTCCCACTCCTTTTGTCATTATGTCTAGCTTGTCATCTACTTACTGTGTTTTTTTTTTAAAGGTTTTTGACCATAATGTACATAGGAAACAACTGCTTCATTAAACTTGGGTTTACACATATGATGCACTTTGATATTTTCTATTTCGTGATTTTTTTAAAAAAACTACACATCCATTTTTGCAAGACATCAGGTGGGAGATGTCTAGTAGATAGAGGTGTAAGTCTGAAACTAAAGGAGAAGACAGTGCTGGGTATAGATTTGGAGGCCATCAGCACGTAGAGATGGCACTTCATTCCATAAAAATGTGCGCCTGACCCGTGTGGCTCAGATGGTTGAGCGTCGACTTATGAACCAGGAGGTCATGGTTTGATTCTCGGTCAGGACTCATGCCCGGGTTGCAGGCTCGATCCCCAGTAGGGGTTGTGTAAGAGGCAGCCGATCAGTGATTCTCATCATTGATGTTTCTATCTCTCCCTCTCCCTTCGTCTCTGAAATCAATGAAAATGTATTTGAAAAAAGAAATGTGTGGGATGAGCCAGGGAGAGGGGTAGTGTGGGAAAAGCACAGTGAGTGAGGGAGAGAACTCAGAGCGGCAGTATTGGGGGTGAGTGGAGGATTCGAATTCCACACCATCTCACCTCTGTCACTTGGCACCTGCTAGTCCTTTACCTTCAAACGCTCTCTCCTCAAAATGGTCTGAATTCTGCTCACGTTTTAAGTGCTAACAAGGGTACCTCCTGCCCGGAGAAGCCTGCCCATCTTCAAAGCCAGAAGCATCCTTTCCCCTCACTTATATCTTCCTCATAATACATTATTGTCTTGAACTATAGGGCTTTTTGTCTTGTTTTGCTTTTGACTACATGTCTTTGTCCCTGTATTTAACTATACATTTCCGCCAAAGTGATTTGGAAGCTACCAACTAGAATATATTTTATTTTATTTTTATTTATTTTTTAAAAAAATATTTTATTGATTTTTTACAGAGAGGAGGGGGAGAGGGATAGAGAGTTAGAAACATCGATGAGACAGAAACATCAATCAGCTGCCTCTTGCACGCCCCCTACTGGGGATGTGCCCACAGCCAAGGTACATGCCCTTAACCGGAATCGAACCTGGGACCCTTCAGTCCACAGGCCGACGCTCTATCCGCTGAGCCAAACCGGTTAGGGCTAGAATATATTTTAAAAAATCCATTCCTGCCAAAACCGGTTTGGCTCAGTGGATAGAGCGTCAGCCTGCGGACTGAAAGGTCCCGGGTTCGATTCCGGTCAAGGGCATGTACCTGGGTTTCGGGCACATCCCCAGTGGGGGGTGTGCAGGAGGCAGCTGATTGATGTTTCTCTCTCATCGATGTTTCTAACTCTCTATCTCTCTCCCTTCCTCTCTGTAAAAAATCAATAAAATATATATATATATATTTTTAAAAAAATCCATTCCTGGTGTCTCAACATCCCCGCTGGAGACAGAGGAGCCCATGATTTGCTCAGACTCTGGAATGGGTCACTCTGTTCTAAGCCTGTGTTCCAGCTTCGGAGTGCTAACAGCGTGAACTGGGGCGAGGGATGTCACCCCTCCGAGCCTCGCCAGACCCCTCAGAGTGCACAGTGCATGAGGGAGACAGGGCGAGTTATATCCCCTACAACACCCAGCACTTCACCAGCACGTTGGGAGGTTCACTAAGTGTTTGTTGGAAAAATAAATTAATGATTACATATATTACATCCGAAAGGTTAATTTTTGTTTGGGAAAAACATTGAAAATTCGTGCTCCATAACTTCATGACCTTGACCTAGTCAAACATTTCTAAAACTTGACATAAAAGCATTAACTATAGCCTGGCTATTTGCTCAGTGGTTAGAGCGTCGGCTGGGACTGAAGGGTTGTGGGTTCCATTCCAGTCAGGGGCATGTGCCTTGAGTTTGGGAAGCAACCAGTCAATGTGTCTATCTCACACTGATGCCTCTTTCTCTCTCTCTCTCTCTCTTTCTCTCTCTCTCTCTCTCTTTCTCTCTCTCTCCCCTCCTCCTCCCATCTCTCTGAAAATCAATGGAAAAAAATATCCTCAGGTGAGGATTAAAAAATACAAAAAACTCTAGTTCAATAGGGTAGCACCCCAATGTTCACATCAAATTTCCAACAGATGTCACCCTAATCCCTCCGTTGTAGTTGTGACTAAACCTCTGTGACTGACGTTACTGCGTGCTTCACCTAATGATATAAGATGTAAATACTTCGTCATCTTGTGTTTCTATCCAAGACATTTTATGGTTCTTTTGATTTCACAACTGGACTTTTCAACTATGTAGATCTCTG